ATATATATATATATATATATATATATATTCACGTATCTACTTAACCTTTTTCATAATCTTTATATTTATTTGTGAGATAATGCTGAATTAAGAAATTGCAACAGATTATCTCTTTGCCTTATCTTTGATTTAAGAAACTCTCCTTAAGTCACGGAAAGAAGATTTTGCTTGAAGTATTTAAAAATTTAACTGAATACAGATCTGAAAATAATTTTGTTAGATCATCAAAATAATTATATGTAGAAACGTTAATACTGCGAAAAGTTTTAACATTCTAGCAACTAATTTAAGCGTCCTACATCATTTTAGATCGTTTTTTTCCCATCATTTTTTGTGATATCAGCAGCAATATCGAAGCACGAATTACTTTGACTTTCGATACTTTTAAATTTTTATTATGTAACTTAATTAATTCGCACGAATAAGAATTTTTAAGTAATAGTATTGAAAAATTATTTCTTTTTTTTTCTTTTTTTTTTTGAATTTCAATTAGAATCTGGAAATTCCGTATTTGCCACACGGAGTCGCACTTTACTTCTTGTAATAAGGAATCCTACGTGGTAATAGGAAATAATTAATTAGCGATTAAGTAACGTTAAACTTCAAGTTTTGTCAAATTACTCTATTGTCTCGTACCATAAACGAATTAAAAAATTCTTTTATAATCTTTCCCCCGACTAGCGTTTATCGTTTAATTTTATTGTTTTTATTTTTGTACGTACTGATGGTCAAATCTTGATATAATATAATAACGTCCACGTTATTATATTATAATTTTAAATATATGACTTTCGCTCGAGACATCTAGTGTCGTGGCTGTACGCTCCCTTTTATTTATATTTTGTATTGGTATAAGCCACTTTTATAAAATTTCAATACTTCGATACTTTTACTTTCGACATTATCCAGGTACACATGATGCCCCGACATCATTCGTCGACCTGTCGCGTCTCCACGTGCGCGATCTCCAATATGGCGATCGAAGGGAACGCGATCGAGGAAAGGAACTGCACTTGACTGGCTGTTATATTTAGTTTAGGTTTTAAGCAGAAAGAGAGTAGGAGAGTCCTTTGAGAGAGCGTCGCAGCCCCGCTCCTGCTGACCGTTCATTCTTCTCTTCTCATCGAGAAAGAGAGCGAGAGAGTAAGAGAGGAGGGTAGGGGAAGGGATGCTCTCTCGGCATCCTCTACAGGCGCCTTCCGCACGGTTTCCGCCGAATCTACTCCCCTTCCTTTCTCCATCGGGTCTGCCCCTTTGTCTGTGTACCTGGGCTAGATATATACCTCCTCCTTCGTATCCCCGTGCGACGCGACCGGGCCCCTCCCTCGTAGACGCCTAAGTATCCGTTACCGCTGCAATCAAGCGACCGCCAACTATTCTTTTGCTGGTTCTCGATCCAACTATCGCTCGGCCAACTATCGCTAATAACGGGCAGGTTCGGTCGATTTTTCGCGGGTCCATGGATAACAGGGAAGGAAACGACGCGCGGCGGGGATTATGACGGGATTGCTGAATACAGCGTGGGATGTTATTATGTACACGTATGGTGAATTACCATGCGGAAAATAGGAAATTAATTGGACTTTATTTTAATAAATTTATATGCCTTTTGTGATTTTTTTTATTTTTTTATATATATACGTGGATGGTTTTTATCACTTCGTGTACATGGATATATATGTGTCTATTTAATCTTTATATCTATTTTTGCGAGATGGTGCTGAATTGAGAAATTGCAACGGAATAATGTTCTTGCCCGAGGCAAGCCTTTCTTAGAAATCGTTTCTACACGGAAAGATACTTTTACTAAAGTATCTAAAAAGCTATTTAGCTAGATACTGATCTATAAAATAATTTTTGAACCATCAAAATAGTTATGTAATACTTAAGCAGGATGAGCAGGATGAGCAATATTGCAAAAAGTTCATTTAATCGCTCTTAAGCGTTTTATAGAATTTTGACAGTACAACAAAATTTTGTTCATCATACTTGATTGTCCTGCATAATTATTTGGCAGTCCAGCGAAATTATTTTCAAATCTGTATCCAGCTGAATTTTTAGCAAAATCGTTTTTTCTTTTTTTTTCTTTCGTGTATTCATTTTACGATTTAGTCGTTGCTCGCTTCGTTCCGACTTGGTCTCGTTCATTTGATGCATTTCGAGATTTTACTTTTTTTTTTTTTTGTAATGAAAATCCAGGAATGTTAATTGCGCACTTCAATGTTCGAAAATGGAACGGCACGTTCAATCGCGATAAAAAAATTCATCTCGATGACAAATTCGCCAACCGTGAGAAGTGCAGAGAAAGAGCCGAGATAACGCGGGAATCGTACTGGTTTGGCGAGGT